GTGCTAGACACTACAACAGGCCAAATGAGGGGGAGGGGATTGCTTGGCTCACAACTCCCTTTGGCTGAAGACTTGATGCTTCCTTGGCTTTGTTCACTAGTGCCTGCCACCCTCCAAGCTTGATGACCTGAAGGGCAGGCCACCGGATTCTGCTGCCTGGTTTTGAGCCAAGAAGGGCAAGCCTAATCTGTATGCTCTTTATTTATACCAAGCAGAAACTGTTGGTCAGTCCAGCTCCCATCAGCACAATGCTTCCTGGAGCTTCCTTTTTAAAGTTACAGGCTTGCTGACTGCATACTGTGAAGCAGTGGGGACAAGGCAGGCCACCCAAGGCCACCATTGACTTATTCTGTATAGAGAATTAAATTCTCACGCTGGGAGCTGTTTTTCTGCCATCATTTCAATGCTCCTTGGCCTGTGGCCAGTCTCACCAATGTCTAATGAAGCTATGCCATTATTTTTATCTGTGTGAGAAAATGGGCATTTCCCCTTTGTTTTGGAACAAGCTCTTGTTCTGTCACTCAACACTTAAGAGATTAAAAGTGCCAAAGATAACATGCCTTGCCCATGTACATTCACTGTCTTGTTCTTCGTTTGTCCTATGGGAACAAGAGATTTTTACAGGGCCAGGCATGTATGTGCACATGTATGACTGCACAGGGCAGGAGCGGAGAAAAGTGATGAAGAGATGCTCTCTCTTCCCTCTTCTGCCTGAAGGAGAAGAAGCTGAGACTGGCACTCTTGGTGCCAGTGAAGCTGTGTGGTCTGGGCTTTCTCCAACCTTTGAGTAGTCTCACTAGGTCACAGGATATTTATATTATACATTGTAGATTATTTGAGAATTAGACATCTTTCAAACAAGGCACTGTCCCCTGGGCCCATCCACTTTCCCATACTCACTGGTGAAAAGATAACTTATCTTTATGTAGGGTTGGTTTTCAAAGCTGCCTGTCCTCATTTTGTACTTTTGATTTTTCTCTAATCTGATATATCCATATATCATAACACATATTTTATATATATATGTTTTTATCCTACGTGTGTGTGTGTGTGTGTGTGTGTGTGTGTGTGTGTCTTAGAACTTTACTGCTGTGAACAGACTCCATGAGAAGGCAACTCTTACAAAAGACAACGTTTTATTGGGGCGGGCTTACAGGTTCAGAAGTTCAGTCCATTATCATCAAAGTGGGAACCTAATGGCAGCATCCAGGCACACATGGAGCTGGAGGAGCTGAGAGTTCCAACTCTTGTTCTGAAGGCAGCCAGGCAGCTAGGAAGAGGGTCTTACAGCCCACACCCACAATGATACACCTATTCTAACAAGGCCACACTTCCTAATAGTGTCACTCTCTGGGCCAAGTATATACGAACCATCAATATATATGTTCACATACACACTTTGGAAACAGGATGGTTTCCAAAGCTGTCTATTCTAGGAAAAACTTTTGTTTTTTCCCTAAGCTGATACAGCCAGTCACATGTGTGTGTTTTATGCATATATGATACATACAGGTTTCTTATCAATGTTTCAAAAAACTTCCAGAGGGAAAACTGTGGCTTTACTGAATTTGTACAGACTTTATGCATATAATATGCACATATTTGCATACGATTTACAGCATAGTGAGCACTGTGAGCACTATCTCAAAGTCCAAAGTACATGAGGGGAGGTGTTTAGGTTATATGTAAGCAGTATGTGGTTTTGTTTAAGGAATTTGAGCACCCATGTATTTGGGTATTAAAAGCCCCAAACCAATCTTCCTCAGACACCAAAAAAACAACTGTACTTCACTAATTTATCTTTTGTATATATACTTTACCCAATCCAAGTATATAGTTCAAAAACATCTTAGTTTGTGTATCAGATATACAGATCTCATTATAAATCCACTTTAAAATGTTTCTATCACTCAGTAAAGACCCACATACTCATTTATTAATGTCTGTCAGATACCACATTTTCTTTTTGTGTTCATACATTTTCTACTTTTTTTTTTTTAGGTATAGCATCATACAGGATGTAGTATCTTATTTTAGATTTCTCCCATTTAGCAAGCTATAGCATATGTCAGTTCATTTCTTTTTTTACTAAAGAGTATTTCATTTTGTGGGCATATACAATTTGTCTATCCATTCACCAACTGAAACATATTTACATATTTTCCATTTAGGGCTATTATGAATAGAGATCTCAATAACATCTGGGATTGAACCTTCATATAGGTGTATTTTTCTTTCTCTTAGGAATACAACTATAAATGGAATTTCTAGGATGTGAGATACATTTATGTTTACTCTTTCAAGAAGCTGCCAAGCTATTTTCCAAGAAGCCTGCACAATTCCCTGTCATTACAGGCAGAGAAAAAGGAGTCATATGAAAAAAGTAAATGTATATTATAAAGACACAAATGTAAACTATGTAAAGTTGTACCATTATTATTATTGTTTCATGCAGGTATTTATAAGTATATGCACAAGACTTCAATGCACGAGCCCCTATCTCTTAACTTGCTTATGAATTGTTATAAGTATTGAATACTGTGAATATAATGTGAATATTCTGGTAATTATTTAAGACCATTGTCTAGCTGTGGAATTATTTTGTGTGTGGAAATTAGCCATCCTCTTGAGGTGTGGGTTATTTCAGGTTTTTCACACATTCTTTGAATACAAAGGTGTATCATGAACAGAATTCTATAGCACTATGTATCTCTTAAACATCTGGCCAGGGTCAATGCCATGTTTTGTTGACTCTTTGTACTTCTATAGTTGTTTTGTGCTGTAACTTTTTGCATCATTCTTTTAGAATTGTGGTTCTCTGGGCTTTCCTACTGAATTCCTGGGCTCCTCCACTGCCCAAGACAAACTCTCTCAGAATAACAGCAAAGGCCGAAGCTTCACAAGGTGCCCATGGCTGGCCCAAGTCCTTTCTTGAACACCTGGATCTAGCCGAAGCAGCCTGTAGCACCAGGACTCTGACAGCCTCATAAGCACATCTCATTAGTAACAAAGTCAAACCAAATGAGTTACAGTAATAATCCATCACAGACTATTAATTTTGTCAGTGCAACTCACATTTGCACTGGACCTACCTTAGACATTCATATAGGTATAAAATATCTGCTACAGTTTGTCATGGAAACTTAAGTTTCCTGTAATTTAAAACTATTGTGAACAAATGTGAACAAAAGGTTCAGATTGGTGAATGTGTTGGTATGTGCTAATGATCTTATTTTTACCAACATTTTAAAAAATTCCCAATTCAACTCTTATTTATGGAAGCAGCAACTTTCAAGACAAGTTCCTCTGTGGCCTGGAACACCTGTAGTGTCCACTTGAGCTCTGTATATTGTCTGGACTACAACATCTATGCTTCTGGATCTCCCTCAAGACCCCAAAGGCCAGGCACACAGCGAGCATACTTAGTGTTCCTTTCACTGTCGTGATAGATCCCTGAGATATGATTATGCTGCAGAAAATATCCATTCTGTAGCAATTCTCAGACCCAACATGACTGAGAATGAATTTACAGGTCATACTTTAGAAACTGGTAAATAGCAGTTCTATTTTTATAGCCGAGGAGGCGGAAAAGAGCCTGTGAGGAAGTTCCTTTTATCATGTTTACAAACAATAGACATTAAGTGGAGGGGTATGATGATGGGCAGATGATCCATCAGTAGAGGAAAGGCTCGCCCCAGAGATTCACCTGGAGAGAGCGGGGAGAAAGATTTTCAAAATACCTAGATTGTGTCTTAATAAAAGAATGAGGTGAGGGGAAAGAACAGATCCGAATCTGAATACCATAGCAAGACTTCAAGGAGATCAAGAGTTTTGACAAGAGTTGGTAAAAGGGAAGTTACTTTAAGAGGGTTGAGAAACCTCAATGTTAAATTCTAAGGACATACAGTAGAAAGCAGGATACTATTTTTATGTGGCTAAAAAGTTTATGTGCATGCGTGCGTGCGTGCGTGCGTGTGTGTGTGTGTGTATACCTGTTTTCAGAGGGCAATGAAGTCATGATAGTCAAAATAAAATAGAACAGCATGTGGGAATTAAAGCACAGAATAAATGAACCTGGATAGGAGTGAGCATCATGTCACCTTCCTGTGTTAAACAGGGAATGCAAGGAAGGACCACTGTTCCTGAAGTGAATGGTGTAGATGCTCAAACTGAACCAGGCTTCTGCTCCAGGCACAGAACCCACTGAGTCACCTGAGCACACAGTAGCCAGTGGAGCCACACCACCACACCTCAGACCCAACACTGGAAGATGGAACCACTAACTTCTGCTTGGCTGTTCTTTGGAGAAAGACTAATTTTAGAACAGAATATAGAAAACCAACAACTTAAGTGAAGGCACTGAAGTGGTCATGCTCAGCCTCAGCTGAACAAGATTTGAGTCACTGTGAGCCTGTACTCACTAGTAAGTCAGAGAGGTACCACCTTCTGTCACAGAAAATGCCAATGTCAAACTTAGTAATGAAGTGTCCCTCAACTCTTTCTGGGATATACATATATACATATAAATGTACACACACACACATATAAATCTCTACTTTAGATCAATACAACTGATATTATCCTTATATCAGTTTTTCATGGCTTATGTGATTAGGAAATACAAATTATACATTCCTTATTTGTATGTGAAATTGTATTAAACAAGTTTTTCATTCAAAGAATTATTTTGTATATGTACTGTCAAAAATGATTAAAAATTAATATGACATTTTCTTCCTTGTATAATTTATAATTGAGGTAGTTTCTTTAGACTATCATAATCCATCCTAATATTTCCTTAAAGCAGGTATTTATTCAGATAGAAACGAAAGCACGAGCCTTGCAATCAGTGAGGACGTGGAGCAACTGCTCAGTCCTGGAATACCAGGTCTAACGTGTGTGGAGGGGAGCTTGTAAATGAAAATCGGAATCTGAAAATAGCAGTATCCTGTATGTTAGTGGGGAAAGGAGATTAGAGAAAACAAACTGTGGAGACAAGCACATTTTTATAATTATGAACTTTATTTTTTATTTACTAAGCCAACACTTTCAGGAAAGAGATTTTACATCTGGTTTCCATAATTCATTTTACAGGCAAATTCTAATATACATTATGTACTCTGAACTGGATTGTAAAATCAATAGGAGGAGAACATTGCAGACACTGTTTCTGGTTTTAGTCCGTCATGACCAAGTTCTCAAGGCCAGCATTACTCATCAAGGCAATGCTCTACCAGGAAGAAAGGGGCAGCTTTTACTCAACAAGGTGAAGACACAATCTTTATAATCAATTACACAATTATAGGGACCTCATAATCATTTGTCCAAATGTATCCTCTCAAATTGCTGCAGCAGAAAGTTAAAGGGACCCGTGGAGAGACCAACAGAAAACAGAACGTAAGCATTGAATGAGGAAACGAGCAGATGATCAACCCCAAGGAAAATCCCATGTGTGTATATTACGGCTATACTTCATTTTCAAATGTGTGCATACGCATGCAAACCTAACTACCCAAGCTAGCTCAGCAACACGGGAGCTGCTGTGGAGACTGGAGAGTGGAAATGCTGTTGCAGCCTTACTGAACAAAAGTTGTACTTTTGACCCCAAAGTGCAACTCAGGAAGCTGGTAGGATCACTCTGGTGGTAAAACCAGGAAGCCACCTGCATCTGGAACACCATCTATGGCACAGAACCTCGGAAGTGACAGTTACTGGGATCAAGTTGTCTTGATACACTGAGTAAAATACTTAAGGGGATGATGGACATTCAAAGAAAACTTAGTGCTATCATGGGCAAAGTGGCATGCTGGGATACAGTTCTCGGAAAAGCTGTACAGCTACCTTCAAACAGCAACAATTACAGAAAAATTCATTTCACTAAACAAAGCCACACCCAGAGGAGGCATCGTGATACTTCAGGCACGACTGCAAGCAATTAAGCTCATTTAAAGTGCATATCTGATATTTTCTTTCATATTCAAATTTTTACTTACTAAAATGCTTAGTAAGTTCCCTAACATCTATATAAATATAGCCAACCGTTGTCAGTGTGCCTGAAAACACTGTATGAATAAAAAATAAGACCCAGAAGAAAAGTAACAAGTAGAGAAGTCTGTGTTTAGAAATCTTCCAATGATACAACTCTATAATCCTTTGTCGGATGCCTTGAAATCACCTGTACCTATGCCAATGAACATCTTAGACCAAGCTTTCCTTGAACAAACTCAATGCTACATAGCAAAACTCTAGCTCAAAAAACAGCCAAGCATCCTGTTAAAAAGCCAAGTAATTAATTCTGTATATTCTTTTCTCTTTCATACATGTGAAAATTAACCAACCTCACCCTTGGGACTTAGAATTCACCTCCTCTCACTGTGTTTACTGACAGAACAGTGAGTAAACTATGTTCCTGCAGAGGACAGTTGGCATCGAGTTGCATTGCTTTTCAGACGCATTCAAGAGAATGAGGCACACTGAGAAAGTGATGTCTGCTTATTCAGCAGTGCTGGGCCCTCATTTGGACTGCTTAGTATTACTAGGAGCAGACAGAATGATATTCTTGCAGCTTTTCCAGAAAACTGCAGGCCAGTAGTCTATGTTATTTGTGAATGCATCCTAGATATTTTCTCTGGGTGATAGACTTGAAGCACACATCATGCTTCAAAGGCATAGTGACGAGGGCTGGGAATGTAGCTCACTTGGTAGAGTGCCTGCCGAGCACACATTGAGCCCTAGATTCAGTCTCCAGTGCCACACAAAACCAGGTGTGGTGGTGCACGCCTGTAATCTCAGCACTCTGCAGATGGAGGCAGGAGATCAAAAATCCAAGTTTATCTTTGGCTACACAGTGAGTTAGAGACCAGCCTGGCATTATGTGAGGCTCTTATCTCAAAGAAAACAAAATATATTGATAAGCCTGCCTATCTTCTCTATCAAGACTAAGGCCCAACAAAGATATAGAGAGAGTGAACTGGTAGATAAATATTTCTACAAACTTATCAGGGAGAAAAAAATTAAAGTGGGACAAATATTAGAATAAAGAAATTACTGGACACAACAATTTAATATAATAGACACCAAAGACATTTCCCTCAGACAACAGGGTTATAAATAAATTTAAAAATTCAAACTTTCCTTCAAGGATAAACCAATTTGTGGAAGTATTCCATAAAATCTATACAAGTCTCTAATTAAAAAAAAAAACCTAACACATTAATTAGTATGTTCTATTGCAGGGACTAGAGTATGACTGTGGCTGATGTGCCAGACATGAGATTCGATTAGTTTTCATTCTCCGTGAGGAGAAACCGCATGTGCCCACATGTACCTGTAGCCAGCCTGGCTCCCTGTCATGATCAAGAGTTAAGTGCTTTTGCCCACAGCAGCAACGACTCCATCCCACCTCAGCCATGTGCAGCATGTCCTGAGCTTCCTCCGACTAACACGGTGTGGGGTGAGACTATACTCGCCTGTTCCCACACTGGAAAAAGGTCTGCATCTCCAAATGGCGAATTTACTTGATGGGTTCTGACATTTAAGGGAAGACTGCTCCCAAATGGCAGCAGATGTGACTTTGCAACTTTGCACAAATGCATTTGATGTCATGTTTCTCTTTGTGACCTAGGTACTTTTAAAAAGAAAGTCATTTAATTGTTTTGGCCATAATTCCTTTTGATAAATTTTTTGGTCAGCTTATCAGATACTAATCCTGTAATGTTATCTTTCTGAGAAATCTTAATGTGAATTAAACAAGCTATGACCAGCCTAAAGATGGCATGATTTGGGCAAACATGAGATAAATTTACTCGACTGCTTGAGAAGCGGCCAGGAGCACAGCTGGTTACCTGGAGGCCCATAGCTACCTTCCATATGACATCTGGAGCAATCTCTCTTAACCCACAGCTACCTTCCATAGGACATCTGGAATAATCTCTCTTAAGAAAGTATTCTTTCCTACCTACAAATTAATTTTCCTCCAAATCTACTTTTCAAGAAACTGTCATTCCACCTTCCACCGAAAGAAAAGAGAAACTTAAGAAACCCAGAAAAGTGACTTATTATGATAGTCTTAAATTGATATATTTTTCTTAAAATGTTTTAACTCATTTTTTATAGAAAATAAGCTTTAAAACCATCTTTTATATCCCATCAAAATTTTGTGCAAATATCTCAAGTCCATTATTCCAGTCTTCAGACATCAGGAAAAAGTCAATAAATACAAGTATTATAATAAAGAATTTTAAATTTTCAATGTATGTTATGGAAACTTGAAAGTAGTACGATGGATCCATAAGTTAATAAGAGTGAAAACTCAATTGCCAGTACAAAATTCTAGCCCCAACAGAGGTTACAACTGATATACCATAGGCATCTCAAGCTCTCCAAGTTTACCCAGCAGCAATGTAAGCAAATAGTAAATGTGTGTGTAAAATGAGATGTAACAGCAACATAGAACAATGACAACTGTCAGCATGGGAATTTGTCTGATAAATGGAGGACTAGATTATTGATCCTAGAAAGGAGAGATAAAATTGGTAAAGACTCCTCCACTAAAAGCCTGGTCTTTCCTTATTGGGGACCTTTTGCATAGACCTCATAAATACACAAAACCTGGCCAGAACCCTGCTTACAGAAAACTACCTTCCATCATCATTATGGATCTTTAGTTAAAATAGCAGCCATACTCACAAGAGGAATATGCATAGGGGTCAGATTCTAACAACCAGTTATTACATACCACAACAGGACTAAATAAGCAAAGTACACATCTTGCCTGATAAATGGAATATTCTGACTTTTCCGGTATGTAGAAAGAGGGCTGGATAGCATGAAGAGGAACTTAGGCCTCTGAGATGGATAAGTAAACTTGTGTTTACCTGAGACAAGTATGTGCAAATGGTATGTAATTCAACCAGGATATAAAATGGAAGAACCAAACTAGTAGAAGCTTCTGCATTTTAATTTTAAGATTTGCTGAAATGGAACCTCCAACATAGTAATAAGCTGCACATAAAGCTATTAGAGAGCAGACTGTTTTCAAAGGACAAATTGGCAGGTGATGGCTATGCACTTAATGTATCTTTGGTTTAGGAAGACGAGAATATCGATTAGAGGCTACACAATCCCCAGAATGCAAACTGCTGTGTGGAGCATGCAGTTCCTTCGATTGTGATAACGGCCTTGGGATGCTTGTCTTGGCCTGGAAGTTTTGAGGCTCTACTGGGGGATTGCTTATTTGTTTTTGCTTGAAAGAGCCAGAAGGGGGACGGAGTTTAGATGCTTTCAGATTCGAATGATTTGCAAGATTGTTTTGATTCGATGTTGGCTGATGTTTTGAATTGCATGGGGTGATTCCTGGTGCCTTCTTACATGTGGAAGTTCTACTTGGTGATGAGTCAGAATCTGGAGGAGGTGTCAAAGAACTCAAGTTGGACGGCTTTAAAAGCTGCAAGGACTTGGGCTGAGGACATTGGTTTCTTCCACCCCTCTTAGTCTGGTCCACTGTACTTGACTGGGAAGAGGTCTGAGGAGGAGAAGTTACAAACTGCATGTCACTAGGTTTTTTCTCTGCCAAATGATAAGGCTCTTGAGCATTCCGAGTCATGCTCAGGTTCGTTTCAGAAGGTGTGTCCCTCACCACATCCACTGGGAACTTTGGGCTTGACGAAAAAGGATGCTCTTCCAAACCATGGCTGCTGTCTTGCTGCAAGCCATGTGCAAAGCTTCCATCTGGATGTGCACCACCCGGACACATGCTTTGGACTGCACAGTCACTGTGGGCCTCGATACGTTGTGACTTTATTAATTTTCCCTGGGCGTGGTCTGTAGATCTGGGAAGGCTGCTGGAAGGCTGTAGTACTTGAGGCTGTTAAAATTTAAAAACAGTACCAACAATTTATATTAGAAATTTACCAAAAATTAATGCAAGTTTAATTATAATTAAGCAAAACTGCAACTTATACTTTAATATGGAAAATGTGTGATTTTTTTTAAAGAATGAATTGCAATATCCAAGCAAACTCATGACACATATAAAAATGATAATGCAAACAAAAATGATAGAAGCAGCAAACACTGAACAAGATCCAAACTTAAATGGGACAAAAGAACATCTTTAAGTATTTACTGAAGGGGGCTGGGAATCCCTGCTCCATTGGATTTATTATCTTCAACCTTACCTACACAAGATCCAGAAGACACTCCAGTAGCACTTTGATTTAATTTTCTTAGGTGGCACTCACATCTAAAGGTAACCTTCAGCATATCACCCACTTTATTTTATACACATTGTCTTGCATACATGTGCATATGTGCACCATGTGTGTGCCTGTAACTGCATGTGAGTAACTGTAGAGGCTAAAGTAGGGCATCAGATCCCCTGGAACTAAAGTTACAGGCGGTTCTAAGGTGCCCTGTGCTTGGGAACTGATCCCGGTCCTATGCAAGAGCATTCAGAGCTCTTAACCATAGAGTCATTTCTCTAGCTATTATGCATTTTAAAATTCGTTTTTTAATGCTTATTGTGAAATGCTGTATCCCTTTTGAGAATTACCAAATATAAGGTTTAGAGTAAAAGACTATCATATTAGTTTATATGAAATTCTAATAACTTACACAAAAACATCCTGAGCTTACACTTAGCCCAGTATGTGCAAAGCACTAAGTTCAACCCTTGGAGTCCCCAGGAAGCTAAAAGTCTTTTCAGTGACAGTTGAGAGAATACAGAGATGCAAGCATCTGGAACTAGAAGCAAGCACAGAAGACAAGTTCCTAAGGCTATGTAGCCTTGTGTGCCTTCAGCAGCTTACTGAGACAACACCTTGACAAACTCAAGAGAACACATGACATCCTTTATTTTTGGCTATCCAGTTTTTAATTTTTAGGTTTTTTTTTGTTTTCTTGTTTTTCTAAAAGGTACAAACTAACATGGGTAAAACAATCAGTAACTATTTCCTCTCTCAGACATATACTTTCTATTTAATATTTTGGGCTAAAGTTTCACATACTTTGGTTTTGAAATGTGAATTTTAATAAATAGTTTTTTACTAATGAAATACTTTCTACTATGCTAATCTACAAAGAAAACTACACAGTGCCTCTCAGCACCCCTGCTGCAGGAATGGACTGCATCACTGTGTTCTGTTACTCTTTGGCCAGCACTGGAAGTGGCTGCCCAGGGTCAGCAGAGACAGACTGGAGTGGCATGGCTAGGACTGACTGAGAACAGGATCAGCCCTCAGAAGGGACGGCTGAGGGGGGCCTGGTACTTTAAAAGTTGGGGAGGAATCATAAGATATCATGTTAGTCATTGCTCCAGCATGGAGGAAGGAGGGGCCCACAAGCTCTAACTCCTGTGGAACACTGAACCAGCTGACAGCTTTTGGGGGAAGGTATCCATTCTCTTTAAGGATGTTACTCCTGGTAGGTTAGCCAAGCTGAAGTGGAAGGCTATAAACCAAGGAGAACATGGGCAACACAAATTGGACTGACAAGTTATTTTATTTTTACTCTTTAAAAAGAGTACAAGGTTGGGATGAAGAGATGAAGGCAAATCTGGGAGAGGTGGGAAGAACTGAGCGGTTAAGAATGATCAAACCGCTTGTATGCATTCATTGAGGTCTTTAAGAAAAAAACTTTAGAAGGAAAAACAATAGTCAAAATTAATCTGTACAGAAAAATAAATACTAACATTAACTCTGACTGTGGAATGTTTAAAATAAAGCTAAGCCAATCACTGCCTAAAGCTAACTATCCCAGACTTCAAAGACAGTTTTTTTAACAGCCTATTATCATAGAGATGAATAAAATGTCTAACATGAAAGGTACTGAAATTCAGTGGATTCTCCTGAAGGTTTTCTAGTAAGCATATAAAAGTAATCACAAATGTCAAAATGATCTAATAGATCAAGCAGGGCCCTACTAAGGAAGTCAGGATCTCCCCAAGGCGGGGCCTAGAAAAGAGCAGCACTAATGGCCAAGCACAGGGCCTCTGTTTTCTTTTCTCACCTCCAAACAGAATAAAGTTTTCTCATACCAATGAAAAAGATCTTAAAGCAATTTAAAAACTGAAAATATAAGGGACAATTTTTAATAATGATGTTTTAATAATACGTTTACTGCCTTAGGAACAAAAACGTGCTCCTGGCCTGCAAAAATTTCCTTTTCTTGTTAAGACAGAGCAGTCAGAGCCGCCACTCCACTCTGTAGAATCCTAGTTCAGGCCACTGACTGAACACAAGATGTCCACTCACAGTGCTGATTACTCATGTTCCCTACTTCTTAGAGAGAAATACACAGAAGGCTGCGCTGCACGTATTCAATGGAACAAAACTCCAGTTACAAGACAGAAAGTGACAAAGCTTCTAAGATATAGCATGCTAAGTTTTTATCTGAGGGGAATAAGACTAAACAGTTACACAAATAAAGTCTAAATTATCATCTAATCAGAAATAAACAGTGATTTTTATAAGATAAGTAATACAAACTTTACATTTCATAAAAAATTATTTTTAGTAATATAATTAATTTCCCTCTCCTAAAATGATTGCCTTATGTTTAAAAACTGTAATTTGGGAAGTTCCGCCATTATGAAGAGTAAAGGTCTCTTTCAAGGAAGAGTCAAAGAGGCGAAGCCTCCTACCATGGACTGGACTGGCACTAACAACAAGCTACCCACTAACAGCTTCAAAACACCATTGTGTATTAAATTGCATCGTGCTAGAGTGAGAAAACCTAGAGGAGGCCACTCAACAATCCCTATGCTTGACAGAGCTCCTTGAGTAGAGCAGGCAAAGTCAACAACAAAGCCACTTCTGACAACATGTGATCCAAAAGAAAATAAAAGTCCAACTGGAGAGAAAACATACAAAATGTACAAATGGCTGGGCTGAGTTTTTAAAGGGAGAGCAGGAAATCGCCAGGTAGACAGGAAAGGAAGGACTGCTGAGACGTAGGCTGCTTCATGATCAGGACTAACAAAAAATCACACTATTCGCTCACTTAGATGCTATGATAATGTGGAGAGAGCACTGCTGGGAGAGCAGGCAAGGCTGGTGCCAACAAGCACTCGCCAAGCTACCTCACTCAGTATGCTGGATGATGAGAGTTCCTAACGAATGTTAAGCAGAGTTCTGAGGATTCAGAGCACTTCAGGATCTCACTTTGGTGGAACTGGAGATACTCAATGGGGGGATGAACCTCTAAGTATTTAGTCAGGTAGTGAGCTATCAACAGCCCAACTGAGCTATCACCAACAGCTCAAGTAAAGTTTGAAGTATAAAATCAGCATACTATTGGGCAGTAAGACAGGTCAACCAGATTTGAGGAGAAGGAAATTCACAGTACTTTCTGCTATCTAGGCAAGGTCTTCCAGGAAGTACCAACTACTCCTTGCACTTCATGGCCTTTAGATGCTCACACGACCCATAACATAAGGCAACAAAAATCTAAGCACCATTGGGGGATTCAGAAATCCTCCTGTAGTAACAGATGAGTGAGACTTAGTAGTCTGTCCTTGGAACTTGTGGAAGGTTTGGTAGGAAAGTTCTCAAATGTAGACTGATGTTCAGACCCTCTACCTGGGCTCTACAACTGAAAGTCTCATAGAAGAGTTTTAAATAAACTCTACTCACTACTCTACAAGCTCTGCAAATTCTACAGATTCTACAAATTCCTCAGGGTAAGCAGTTATGTGTCAAGGACACTGCCAGCAATAGGCACTACTGGGGAACTGTGCAAAGGCTTGATGGTAGTCTTTAGCAATGACCTCAGATGCCTATTTGGACTGCTTGCAAGGATAACTGGAGACGAGTCTCTTGTGCAAGCGCTATGACACTTTGTTTTGCATACTAGTCAGCGCTCCTGGTATTTGTTCCATAATGGTGACTGAATACTTGTTTGCCATGTAATGAGCAAGGGAATATTAGCTGTGTATTCAAGAATGGCTCAATGGAACATAAACTAGCAAAGATGACTGGCTATGTCAATAATAGATCATTAATGGTTAAATAAAAATTAACCTCTACAAATTAATGGACAAATAAGTCTGGATAATAAAAAACAATCCCACTTTCCTTTAAATGTTTGATGTTAATTACATATTAAGTTGAACAGAAGTATCTTTCATAATGACCTAGGAGCTTAGCATGGCTAAGTGGTTTTTTTGTTTGTTTTGTTTTAATTTGAATAGGTATTTCTGGCTTAGGAGACTGGAAAAATTTATCTCAACAGGCATTTAGCTGTTTCTCTATTCCAGCTGTAACAGTTGACTACACATGCGAAGCACTTAGCACAGTGCTTCCTGACACACGTGTCTCCTATGATAATTAGAGAGTATAAGCAGGAGAGGTTCAGGCATATGTCTTTTGTAACTGGACCTGGTAGAATAGCCAAGATCTTTATCATATGAAAACAAATTACTTACTACAAAACATGAAGTTTCTAGGTTCAAATGCATGGTTCAGTCAGTTAGCCACAGCTATGGTTTAAATCAACAGCAGCCACGCGTATTATGACATCAAACCTAAGACTCCTCTATTTCCTCCCTGACTGAAGAACTAGAGTTAGAGCATTAAAGTATATTAAAATTTTGAACAACTTATCGGATGGAGCTAGTTAGTCAAACACAGAATTCATTGAATTACTCAGCTTCTAGATTCAGACTGATGTTAGTTTGAGTTTTGCATCTATTCCTTACAGTTGGTGAGATACTGAGCAAATCATCACAGTGCCCTGAAATGAAATTTTGTAATTAAATTTCTACAAAGAAATGCATAACTATCAGGCCCCTAACAAATGCAAGGCATTTACAAATACTAGAGAAATGTTAAACTTCAGACTAGGAAGCAGGGGTTTCCTTCTGCCCAA